ACAGGGGAACGAGAGGGTGGAGACAGAGCAAAGAGACAGGGGAACCAGACAGGGGAACCAGAGGAACCAGAGGAACCAGAGGAACCAGACAGAGGAACCAGACAGAGGAACCAGAGGAACCAGACAGAGGAACCAGACAGGGGAACCAGACAGGGGAACCAGAGGAATCAGAGGAACCAGAGGAACCAGACAGAGGAACCAGACAGGGGAACCAGAGGAACCAGGCAGAGGAACCAGACAGGGGAACCAGAGGAACCAGACAGGGGAACCAGAGGAACCAGGCAGAGGAACCAGACAGAGGAACCAGTGTGAGTTTGGACCCACCTCCGTCCTCCTCGATGTCGTCCTCTGACTCCTCGCTGTCGGCGCCCGGCAGCGGGTCCAGCTCCCTGCTGACTCCGCCTCCTCGCTCCCTGGCCCAGACCATCAGGGCGGTGTCGGCTCCGCCCACCGTCAGCAGGGCGGAATCATCCTGAGCCCAGCGGACGTTGGTCACCTGAGCGCTGTGGCCAACGTAGCGCTTAAAACGGGCGAACTGACCCTGATGGAGAGAGGAGCCGCTGAACACCTTCCAACCAAACATCCAACCAAACATCCAACCAAACATCCATTCATCTTAACAGAGATCTCTGAATCCTGTGTGTGTGTTTGTGTGTTTGTGTGTGTGTGTGTGTGTGTGTGTGTGTGTGTGTGCGCGTGTCGTACTCTGACTGGGTAGCTGAACAGCTTCAGGAAGCCAAAGTCGTCTCCGGTGGCGAGCAGCGTTCGGTCTCTGGTGAGCGATGCGGCGTTGATGTCGGTGATGTCACTGTGAGTCGGCCATATTCCCTCACAGCTGGAGCCCAGAACACAGGTCCAACTGGACCAGTCCACCCGCTCCAGCTGCACACACACAGCATCACACAGGGTAAAGCCCAACTGATCCGGCTGAGGCCTCCTGATTCATGTCTGCTTTGCATAAAGGAGGAAATAAACTCAACATTTTGTCTTTCCTCTGATTGGTTCAGATCTTTAAAAATCCTGCAGAGTTTTGTCCATTTAGCTGGGAAACAGGAACTCGGAGCTGGATTTGACCTCTGAACCAAAGTAACAGCATTCTAGAAAAGAAGTCCAAATTCCAACATGGCGTCGCCCATAAACATCGTTTCCAATAGTTCTTAGAAACTTTCTTTAACCAAACTCCACTTCTGATTTGTTGAGTTTACAGCTGCAGGATATAAAAACCTGTCTGATGGTTTCAGACTCACTCTGACTTCTGTCTTGTAAAATAAACATGTTTCCATTAAATCTTACAACTGTTGAGGCGAGGAGCGGCCATGTTGGAACGCAAAGACGGCCTTATAAGTTATAACTGGAGTTAGTCAGAGTTGCTCCCAGTTTCCTAGTGGGAAATTCAACTTCAGAAAGCGTCCCAGTTGACTTTTCTGACTGGGAATTTCTCAGATCTGAGTCCAACTGGAACGCAGCATTAAACAGGAGAGCTGTGGATCCATCTAGTTAAAGCAGGACTGTAAGGCTAAAGTTAAAGAAAGTTCAGTTAAAACAGAAAAAGGATTCAGCTTTAATATATCAAACCATGTTGTGTTTAAGAGCCTCGACATAAAGATCAGCCACAGATTTTACAGCAGGAACATGAACCTGCTGGTACATACTGACTACAGAAAATGCTCCTCATGACCACATCCCTGCTGAACCGGTCCGGTCTGCGTGCAGAGACTCACCTCAGAGTTCTGGATGGTTTGTCTTCTTCCTCTGGGGGCTTCAAAGAACAGCTGCTCCTTGGCTCCGGTGTTAACCTGCAGCAGTTTACCTGCAACATGTTGACACAGGGAGAAATGATGAAACGTCTCCATGGTTACAGGAAAGGAAGCTGATTGGCTGGAAGGAAGGAAGTGGATCCGGCAAACAGGAAGAACCAAGATTCAGCTCAGAGAAAAAAACTTGAAACAACTTAGTGATTCCAACCTGAAGATTTAAAGTTTTTAAAGTTTCTGAATGAATACTGAGGAAGTTAGAAAACAAAAGACTGAACAAGAATCAAAACTAATAATTTCTTCTGACTTTATTTAGCCCAGCTTGTTGTCTCAGATCCACAGTGACTGGTTTGTCCTCAGTAGGAACTGGTTTACCTCGGGCGTCCCAGTCGATGTGTGTGATGTAGCTGGACGCTCCTTTGCAGATCCCGACCCGCTTGGTGCTCAACACGTGGTAGATGTCGACGAAGCTGTCATGTGACGCCACGGCCAGGTATTTACCTGGATCTGAGAGCCGAGACAGGAAGAGAAAACATTCAGACTTCCTCTGAAACTGGAAATGTACAAACTGGTTTGATAAACTGTCTATCTTTACTCAAAAAGTGAAAAAACATGAAAATAAAGAAAGTTTAACATCTTCAGAAAAAACAGCTACATGTTGATGCCTCCTCAAAATTCACTGACAAATGAAAGAGAAGAAACTTTGATTCCTCTGGAAAATCTTCCAGATTGATCAGAGAAATTCAGCAGTGAAAGGAAACAGGAAGTGTTTCCTTTCACTGAAAGGAAACAGGAAGTGTTTCCTTTCACTTCCTGTGAAAGGAAACACTTCCTTGTTTTATTTGTCTGTTTTATAAAACAAATGAATAAAACAAATAAAACAAATGTTTTATTTGTCTGAATAAAACATTTCAGACAAACTTTAAAACAAGACGACTAAAAATAAGGAGATTCATCTAAAACACGTCAAAAAATAAAACAACATGAGCTGGAAATTAAACTGCAGCGATTTGATGAAAACCTTAAAGCTGCAGAACGGAAATTATTTTAAAAATGACGTTTGTAGAAACTTTCACTACGTGGTGACAGTCCTGGGCTGAACCGGGTCTGGGTCGGTACCAGGAACCGGGTCTGGGTCGGTACCTGGAACCGGGTCTGGGTCGGTACCTGGAACCCTGTCTGGGTCGGTACCAGGAAGCGGGTCGGTACCTGGGCTGAAGCGGACGTCAGAGATGGCGTCTCGGCGGTGGTGGAAGCTCAGCAGATCCTCCAGCGTGTCGGCGTTCACCACCAGGACGGCGCCGTCGCTCAGCCCCACCGCCAGCGCTTTGCCCTCAGGGGAGAAGGAGCAGCAGTGGCCGCCTGCGGCAGAACCACAGCAGGTTGGACCCACAGCGTGGTTCTGGTCCAGAAACAGCCTGGAACCAAAAGAACCTCTGGTTCTGGTTCTGACCTCTCTTCAGCTTGCGGACCGCCACCATGCGGTGGTTGGCCGACGTCTCCCACAGTCGGAGCGTTTTGTCGTCGCTGACAGTGACGCAGACAGGAAGCAGCGGATGGGCGGCCAGACCCCAGACCTCCCCCTCCATGTGACCCTGTACACCCAAAACACTCGTCTGGACACAACCTGACCAATTATCACAAACACTCACCTGGACACAACCTGACCAATTATCACAAACACTCACCTGGACACAACCTGACCAATTATCACAAACACTCACCTGGACACAACCTGACCAATTATCACAAACACTCACCTGGACGACGATAACAACCAGTTTATCATAAAACAAACATTTCACTGCAGCAGACAGACGATCAGAGCCACTTCCTGTTATAATGAACTGAATTTCCTGATTCCTCATTAAAGTTTGTTTTACTGAAAACATTAAAAATATCTAATAAATAAAATGCTTCAGTCTCCAAACCAATGTTAGAAACCAGCTAGAAACGAAAGAAACATGGACTTTATGTTGATCAGAGCGATTTCTGTCATCCAGGAAGAACCAACATTTATCACCTGCTGGTCCGGACCGGATCACAGCGGACCTGGAGCCGGAATCCAGAGGTCAGTTTATATTAATCTGGAGTTTGGGTCAGAAATGGCTCCATAGCTTTGATTATATTAGAGCGCAGTGGGTCCATGGTTCTGACTGGTTCTGACTGGTACTGACTGGTTCTGGCTCCCAGTGCTCCCACCTGCACCAGCAGGGTCATGGGTCCGGTCTTGTCGATCTCCAGAACTTCTCCGTTCTTGGTGCCGACCAGGATGTGTCCGTGGCCCAGAGTGATGGCTCTGATGGACGGGTTGTCCTCCAGCAGAAGGCCTGGTCACACACAAACCAGTTCAGATTGGTTACTGGAACAAATGGTGGGATTCTGGAGGACCAGAGTGAGCAGCCTCCTGAACCGGATCAGAACCCAGAACATTCAACCAGCAGGAAAACATTTTGATTCTCTGGAAACATTTAAAGTCTCTGAATCAGATCCAAACATGTTGACATGTCACCACATGTCCACATGGGGGCGCTGTTTACCTGCTTAAATTAGCAGATGTTTCAGACTCCTGTTACTTATCTACCAACCCTGAACAGGAGAACCTGGTTCATTTACTTTGAATCAACATTATTAGTTTTTTCTTTTGCTTTTTCCTTTGGCTTGTTATTTTGTTTGTATTCCCTTTTTGTACTGCCTTGTTGTTGAAAATGTGCTATATAAATAATATTACCTTCACCTTTATATGAATCCTGTTACTTTGATTACAGTGTTACTCAAGATATCAGAGTAAAATATTACTCACATAAAGTAAAAAGTACCACAATAATATGTAACATTTTGATCCCAAATTGGTTTTTAAGTAATAAATATTCATAAATGAAACATGAAATAAACATGTCTGACATCATGATTTTAATGGGACATAAATTCTTCACATCTGCTGCTGATCACTCACCACTAACAGATATGATATAATCTACAAACACTTTAAAAAGCACAAACATATTATACTTAATCATACTAGCATTAGTACATCTAACTTGTTACTTTCCTCCTCCTGCACTGGTGTAAAATTTATGAAATTACAGAAAATTAAAACCCAGACACTTATTTAGAGGAATCCAGAATAAACTCTTCAGAGCTATTATAAATATAACAAAATCACTGAATTCTGATTTTCTGTTGTTAAATCTTTGTATCATCAGTGATGCCAAAAATTTCTCTTTTTTATTTATATGAATTGTTAAAAGACATCAAATATTTATTTAGTCTGATGTTCTGTTTGTGTAAATTAGATAAATAATGTGGGACAAATTTAGAGGAAACAACTAATAATTAGATTTAATACACTTTTTATTTTACTGATTCTTTTCAAACTAAATGTTAAAGTTTTGTTTTTATGTTTGATTATGAAATAATTTTTGTATTTTACTGAATTACTTTATTTTTTCTCTGAAATTATACTTGTTTGAAACAGATTTAAATTAATTTCAGTGTTCAGAGATTTAGATCCGTCCGTCCATCCATCCTTCCTTCACCTTTGGACCCCGGGGACAGAGCCGTCCTCTTGATGGCGTACGTCTTCAGGCAGCGGTCGAACATGTCGTCCCACAGCTCCACCACTCCGTCTTTCCCTCCCGTCACAAAACCCTGAAACCAGGAGAGACGGAGAGGAAAAGAGGGAAAAGAAGCAGCAGGAGCAGAAACGGATCATTAAACCTCCAAACGGATCAGAAACCTGAATCTGTTTGGTTTTATCTGAACTTTCATCCTGAACAGAGAAAAGATTAAAAACCACCAGCTGGAACCATCAGCTGTTAGATTATTATAATGTAACCAGGATCTGAGATCAGCTGGATGTGATTCTGTTTGTAGAACCGGGTCACATTTCTGTGGATCTACAGATTCACTGAAAAGAGATGAAGAACAAATGAACAGGAAGAAGAATCTGAAGTTATAAGATCTGCTGTGTGTGATTGGCTCAGGGGATGATCGGCCCATCATCCCTCCCTCCATACCTCCATCCCTCTCTCCCTCCATACCTCCATCCCTCCCTCCATACCTCCCTCCCTCCATCCCTCTCTCCCTCCATACCTCCATCCCTCTCTCCATCCCTCTTTCCATCCCTCCATCCCTCCCTCACCTTGTCCAGGGAGAACATGGCGAACACCGGCCCACCATCCCTCTCTCCATCCCTCTTTCCATCCCTCCATCCCTCCCTCACCTTGTCCAGGGAGAACATGGCGAACACCGGCCCGTCGTGAGCCTTCACCGTCTTCAGCAGGATCGGTTCCTTCCAGATGTAAACGTCTCCGTTGGCGGCGCCGGAGAAAACCAGCGCCTCGCTGCGGCCGTAACACACCGACATCATGGTCTCCGGACGACCCACGCTCCTGAACGCACCGCGCCTGAAGGTCAGGCCGCCCCCTGGAGGACGGAGCAGGAAGAGCAGGAGAGAGAAATCAAAGTTTGTACAGAGAAGCTGGTTTAAGATTCAGAGAAAATGATAAAACATCAGCAGAAAGGGAGAAGTTAAAATTATTATTGATCATTTTATTGGAACCAGAGCAGATCTGACTCACACTTAAGCCCAATTTCACTACGATTAAAACTTAATGTTTTTGAAGTGTTTATCATTTAATTTGCTGTAATCAGATTATTTTAACAGAAAAAATGAAAAATCTGCAGTACAGAATAACTCAGCAACAGAAGAGAGAAAGTTTGAGTTTTAATTCTTCATTTAGCATCTAAATTAGCAGCACATTAATTCATGTCAGTAAAACACGGAGCGGATTCTCTACAGATCTGGACTGAAATATTTATTTAATCTAGAAGCTGCAGAAATCAGCTGAATTAAAACATCAGAGTTAAAAATCTGAACCACAGAACAAACAGTTTGAGCCATCAGAGCAAAACCAGCTCATTCTGTGTGTGTGTGTGTGTGTGTGTGTGTGTGTGTGTCCGTGTGTGTGTGTTACCTGCATGCTGCCAGAATCGGATGTGTTTGATCCCCACAGTCACCAGTCTGTCCATCATCACTGGGTTACATTTCACCACGAAGATTTTGTCCTTCTGTCCCCTGAAACAGACGGACGAGTCAGAACATGTCCACATGTCCTCATGTCCTCATGTCCACATGTCCTCATGTCCACATGTCCTCATGTCCTCATGTCCACATGTCCTCATGTCCACATGTCCTCATGTCCTCATGTCCACATGTCCTCTGTCTCTCATGTCTTATTTCTGCCTCATCAGATTAAATCAGAGGTTCTGTCGTCTTCCTGGGTCAGAACCGAACCAGAACCAGACAGTTTGGGTCAGAACTGATCAAGATGCCGTTTGACTTGACAGAAACAGGAAGAAATATAAAAATAGTTGCTGCTTAAAATAAACACATTTTCTCTAAAAATAAAAACCAGATTTATAAATAACTTTCAGCAGGTTTCCTAAAACTGTCCCAGTTGATTTATATCTTTATGAAACACATTCAGAGTTATTTATAATCACAAGCAGAATTATTTAAAGCATTGATGTGACTAACAGGATGTTCTGAGGTGAACTAGAAATAAATCCATTAGCAGAACTAAAGACATTTTTCAGACTTTAATCCTGTTTCTGA